TATAGATAGATCCAATCCATATGCGATTTATTTGCAGCCCTATATATGAGTCTAGAACACAGGCTTCATTCAATGCGGTTCCATCTTAACCGATGAATGAGTAAATCATCGGCTAGGAAAATCAGATAATCCAACTTCAAGTTCCGAAATAACAAAAAATGGTGACTTTCTTTTGATTGGGGGCTCCTCCGTCTACGATTTCATGTGAAAGAAGTGTGGATTCATAAGTGGGGTTTTACAAAAAGTTCAAAAAGGCAAGTGATAACAAGGTTGTCGTGAGAAAAAAGAAAAGGAGAAAAGAGAGTATCTTGCCTAATGCTTAAAAAAAACTCGTCATTCGTTAACTAAGTTTTAAAAATAATGATATTTAGCACAACTGGTTTTTAACTTGAATATAAGTGTCGACAACCATTAGTTTACCTTAAAAAAGGAAAATGAGTCATATTTAAAAAGGAAAATGAGTCATAAATTCAAGTTTTACTCACTTTTACTTTAAGAAATCAGTATTAATGGAACCAATCCCCTATTTGATTTAGTGTGTGTATGGTAGAGATTTTTTGGGGGAAGAATTGATTTCGAATAGTGATATGATAGGAAATGTGTGGTTTAAAAAGAAGATAAGATTATTGATGTGATAGAAAATCTTATTTTATTGAAGAATGTGTGGTTGAAAATGAGAATTGATTTACTGTTGAAAATGAGAATTGGTACCAAATATAGATTTTTAGTGGATTCTGATAAAAGTGAATAAAATGTGGGATTAAAAAGTTGATAAAAATTAATTTTCATGAAATATGTGATTGGAATTAAGTTCGAAAAAAAAAATGAAATTTAAAATATGGGGAGCCAAACATGAGCTAAATAAGATCAACCGATTTAATGGAAATATTATGAAAATTGGAGCAAGGTATGTAACTTCCAATTAATGAGATCAGAAATTTGCGTGCCCAATTTGGGTTTGCGTTGATACAGATATAGCTATGATACAGTGATATGCTCCATGACAGAGGGACACGTGTCAATATATAATTAGACAGTTTGAAAAAAGAAAAAACTCAACACCGAATCATTGTTTGCCACGCTATCCTATCTCCTCGTCCATGTCATTGTCCCTGTCCATGGATTATTATTCATATATTATATATTTAAAAAAAAAGTATACCCTTTTTTAGCTTAACATAATTAGTAATTGCCTCATTTAATCAAACATTTAAATAAAAATAACCCATTTTTAAGGTAAAGTCAATTCCTGTCAATTTTGCCAAAGAGGTAAAAAGGAGGCAAATGGTTTCTTCCACAATTCTTTCGCAACCCATGGTTTCAATCGAATATGCTTTTGTGGGATAAATTGGCTTTTCTTTTTATTTTATATTTTTAAATAAAGTAAAGATATTTAAGTCTCTAAATTAAAAACTTAGAGCATGTCTGGAGGAGCCTTTTGTTCAATGACAATTGATTAAAGAACCGTTGCTCACTGCAATGTGGGTCCCAGTGTGCCAGCAAAAATTGACTTCGTACAAATGAAATGTCGAGAATGTTGTTCCATCATGCAAAATGGTTTAAATGTAGAGGACAAAAAGGTCATTTTTCCATAAAATGATTCAAAATGCCCATTGCCATGTCAAAATTCCTGCCAATTTTGTCTAAAGCAACGGTCCAAATTTGGCTTTTAAGCTCGCCCAGACACAGCCTTAATATTTTTATTAGTCAATGGGATAACCATCCAAAATATTCAATTATGTTAATTAAGTGAAATGTTAAGACACGACAGTCCTATAATTCAGGGACATGTGAATAAATGCTTAGAGGGTGTTTGATGTAAATTAAAATCAGATTTTCAATAGATTGTAATAGAAGTTTTTGAAATATGTGGTTGAAAAGATATGAGATCAATGACAGATGTTATTGATATTGATTGTTTGACTTTGACTTTGACTTAAATGAAAATCTGACTCAAACAGACCCTTAATTAAGAAAAGACTTGTCCAACTGCACGTGCTCTCTCGCTCCAATCCCAACTGCCAATATTTTACATTTTTCATTGGCTAATATTTTTATTTTATAATTATTATTCTTCTAGAATGCTCGAAGGCCAATATTTTCTGCAGGGCTTCAAGCCTTCATGGTTAAAGGAAATTGCCGAAAATGGCCCCAAACTTATGACAATCTTGCTCTTTTGGTTCCAAGCTTTAAAATCTTGGTATTAATGTCCCAAGTGTATGCAGTTAGGTGTGCAATTGGTCCAATGGATATATTCCGTCCAAAATGGTTGTTAGTTTTGTTGGTTTTTATTGAGCGACAACTTTTGTCAAACCTTACGTGAAATGAAAAAATAAAGAAAAACCTCATGGGTAATTATATGCACACACAATTTTTGTTTCTTCTGCCACATAAGCTCATAGTCCCCTAACGATTTTTTATGTCATTCTTATCCTCAAAATTTTCATTAATTAACACGTTTTGTATTTGATAACGATTTTAAGTCCAAACGTCCGTTGGAATTGCACAAAACAACTTATTTTTCCATCATATTTTTTAAAAAATAAATAAATAGAAAAGTGCGAAAAAATATTTTTCCCTCATTTCAAAATATGAGAACATAATATTTTTTTATAAATCAATGACGAGATATATTAATTAATAAAATGTTGAAGATAAAGTGAAAAAAATAGTTGCTACAACGTGCAAAGATTGAAAAGCTTGTTGCGTATCAAATAAAAATCGTGCTTGCAGTTTAACCACCCAAACCTCCCACAACCCACTCAATTAATCCAAACCAACCTCAACCTAGGGGTAAACAAAGTTAAAAAAAAACATTAGATTGAACCAAAATCAAGCCACAATTGTTTCTACTCGAGTTCTAATTGGTTCTAGGTATTTACATTGAGAAATAGCTTGATTGAGTTCTCAATTTCTAATATCAAGAACCAAAAAATCGACTATAACTCAAAAATTTTATTTTACATTTTAAACAATGACAAATATTTTACATTTTCTTCTCAATTTCACCATTGTGCCTTTAATGCATATTCAATTTGTTCTAGCGATGTTTATAATCTTAGACTGAATTTTCGTAAATGTAATTTTTGAGTAATCAAAGGCTTGTGTTCCTTCTTCATTTAAAGCTAACATTTTCAACTGCTCAAGAGTAAGAAAATGAAAGTGAGATTGTAACATGTTTTTCAAAAACTGGTTCGAGCAAATAATTAACTAGTTGAGGTAAATTGTCACGTTTACTTAAATGTAAAAAATACAAATAATCTGTATCAATATAAATTCTTATAATGGAAATTCTAAAAAATTATGGCTCAAGAACTTGGTGGGTGGGTCAAGTTTGGTGTGGGTGGAGGTGGGATGGGTTGTTGGAGAAGATGAAATTTATTTATTTGTTTAAGGTTTGACAAATTTGTCTCTGGAATAAAAATATATAAAATATAAATTTTCATTTCGAGCACAAAATTAATAGTCATTTTGAATGAAATCCTTCCAATAGACCAATTGCTTACCTAATGGGATAGATTTGGATGCCAAAATTTAAAGGCACAGGACCAAAACAGAAAAATTAGAATAGATTTGGGACCATTTTCGCTAATTTCCTTTCTGGGTGGATTTTATACTTCGTACGGTTTCTCGTAAAATACTTCGTTTTGCTAACTGGGTTGTCTCTATTTTTGGGTGATAGCATCAGGTTTTGCCGAAAGTTGTTTGATTTTGTAGTTAAAGGCAAGAAGTTACTTTAATCCCCTTTAAGCTGTGTTGTTTTGTGCTTTGATTTTTGCTGCTTTCCCCTTTGTTTTTTTTAATTGAACTGAAGCCTGAGTTGGTGTTAGCTCGCTTTTTCGATTTTCGAGAGGTTTGAGTCACTGACTCACTGTTTTGTGTTGGAAAATAGGTGTTCACTTTCTCGATATGTGTGTTATCTTGATTGAACTGTTAATGGGTTTTGAGGTGTGTACTTATCAAATCGAGCATAGGAAAGGTCTCAATTTGGAATTTTTGAAGTCTTCTTTTGCATTAAGCTTTACTTGAGGGTTTGTTGATAGTTAATAATTAATATATAAGCGTTGCTTCTTCGTGAATTGGGCATCTGGGATTTGTGACTTTGATACCTGAATTTTGGATATCAAGGATTCAAGGTCTCTCGTTTTTGAGCTTTTCCCCATTTATCTCTTGAGCTTTTTAATGATTTTACCGTGAGTCTGTTTGACTTGAACATCTTCTTGTTAACTATGCCCTCCCGATTTGAAGTTTTTTTAAAGAAATTATCTACATCTCATTTCTTGTTGTTGCAATCAGTTTACTTAAATTTATGCTTTTTAACTAGTTTGTTTATCCCAATTTTCTAAGTTCTAAATCCATGCATCTTGTAACTTGTAGGTTGTTGCTCTCAGGCCTTGAGAATTCTTTTCTCCAGCTGATTCTAGCTTCTTGATTTATGGCTTGGTTCATCAATGTGAATTTTGTTTTAAAGATTGTTGTGTGTGTCTGATAAGTTCTTATATTCTGCAGTGATTTAGGCTTCTTTAACTTTTCAGTTCTGTGAATCGTGGTATTTATTAACTCAGCTTTTTGTGAGGTGAGAGAGAAGGGGTGGAACAGAGAGGGAGAGGTCTTTGGTGCTAGAACTTTTGAGAGGAGAGTGGAAGTGTTAAAGCTAGAGACGTGTTTTCTGATTATAGTAATTATTTATGTGATTAAGATTTGTTTACCGTCTCATAAAAGCTTAAGCCGCTAAGACAGGGGCCATATGTATTCATATAAATCTTGTCACGTGTTGACCGGATTCCTTTTCTGGTTAAATGTCTAATACAGCGAACATATTTCATAAATAAGCGGCTGCAAGACTTGCATATATTCATATAAATCTAGTAGTCAAATATTTTGCATGCTACATAGCATATAAAATGTTGCAAGGTTTCATTTAAGGTTCAATTTGGAGTGACTAGTTTTTTCAAGAAACTCGTTCTCTTGTTTTTCGCAGGTAAATTTCTAAGATCTTCATGGATTCCCGGCAGTCGGTGGTGTCACCATTCAAGAGCTCTTCTCTTTTTGTAGAGTCCGAGAAGCAGAATACCAATATTTTTGCAGAAAACCCCAGCTACTTATCAAGGGTAATCACTCATCAAAGCAAGGAAACTCTAATTCGAGAAGACTTCTTTGGCGTTTTGGAGGTTTGTATAAATCAGGCTAGGGATATTCATAACATCTGCATCTACCAAAAGCAAGATGTTTATGCTAAGCTTTGTCTTACTAGTGATCCTGAAAATACAGTCTCCACTAAGATCATTAATGGCGGTGGGAAAAATCCTGTCTTTAATGAGAATCTCCGACTCGATGTTCATAAAGTCAATTCCTCTCTCAAATGTGAGATATGGATGCTTAGCAGGGTGCGAAATTATCTCGAAGATCAACTCTTGGGATTTGCTTTGGTACCTCTGTCAGAAGTCTTCCTTAACAAGGGGAAGTTAGAGAAGGAGTTTTCTCTCTCCTCAACTGACCTCTTCCACTCTCCAGCGGGTTATGTTCAGTTAGCCCTTTCCTATGTCGGAGCTTCACCGGAAGTGATTCCAATTCCTGCACCATCCTCATCTGTGGCCGCAGATGCAGCTGTGCAGGACTTGAAATCAACAGAATCTTGTCCTAGTGACTTTGACAAAATTGAGTTCCCAGATCCTAATGTAGTGAATGAGAATCATCAGATGGTTTCCGAGTATTTTGGGATCCCAAATACTGATTTGGACGACTCCCATAGTTCAGACAGTCTGGTCAACTCTGGAAATGAAAATAACATAAGCTCAGAGGTAGGTGTTCAACTTGAAGAAAGCTTCTCAACAGGCACCATCACTTTGACACCGTTTCCAAAGCATCCTCTGGGCTGTGTATCATCGGATGGAACTCCATCTGCTTCACTTCATTTGAGCTCACAGTCTTCTGAGACCCCTGGAGACTCAAAATCTCCAAATGAAGAATATGTGTCACCTCCTAAAGATAATCGGAAGGATAGAAGTTCTGATGTTGGAGAAGCTGGGAGTAATGTGTCGGGGGGGCTACCAAATGATACATTTGCAAAGCCTGTTGTCACGGTAAACATTGAACCGGAGCCAAAGGTGGTGCAGCAAGACATTGTGAATATGTACACGAAGAGCATGCAGCAATTTACTGAGTCTCTGGCCAAGATGAAGCTTCCAGGAGACTTTGAAAACCAGCCAACAAGCTCTGGCAATTCAAGTTCGGACCAGAAAACGCCAACGTCTAAGAACTCTGGATCTAGAGTGTTTTATGGGAGTAGAGCTTTCTTCTGAGCTTTCATTTGATGTTCCAAGTGATATAATGATCCTAATCAAGACATGCTTTTAGTAAAACATTACGTGCATGTTTGGTATGTGATATTAGATGGTAGTTGACTAGTGTGTGTTTTGTGCAATATTAGATGGTAGTTGACGATAGAATGAATAAGATTTTAGTTTCTTGTCATTTTTAATGCTGTCTAATATTATGTAATCAATCTTACCAAACATGCCATAAAAGTGTTGCATAAGTCGTAGTTATTGTATGTTGGGCATGCTTTAGATGATAATTAATGACGTAGGCTTTTATGGAAACAAGTTTTTTACCGAGTTAGTCTTAAAGGATGAACAGCATCCTTAGCGGCCCCCACCTGCCCTGCCCTAAGCCTTGGTGAAGAAGGTAAATTGCAGGTTATGCCTCCAAGAGTTAGTCTTGATATATATTTGATATGGATGTCCTCAAACTTTTGCCTACGTAGATCTTGTTCTCTATGCTTGTAATAACTATGTAATCAAGTAACCTTAATTATGTGTCATTATGATACTTTCCACCTTCAGTGATGTATTTGAAGGATTTAGCACGTTGTGCTAAAGTGTCTATTATTTCCTTTTGGCTGTTTGATAACATCTCCACTGGTAAAGGATTTGTCTGTCCAGAATCTTACCGAGCTTGCATAGTTGCAAGATAACATTGTCTTTATAACTTCACGACCCATTTGATTTTCAACTACATGCATTTCTGGCCAAAATTTTACATAAAAGTTTTCAGATTGAGTGACTAATTTTATCTGAGTAATTACTGGTTCCTCTCTCCAAAGTAGGTTGCGACGATTGTCCAGGTCAGGTCTATGATGCCATGGCCCAGGGGCGAAACTAGAAATTTTTCTCAGTTTGGGGTATCAAACTTTCAAATTGCAGTGGGGTCACTTTATAGTATATTGTAGTACTTTTTTCGAACTTTCAAATTTCGGTAGGGACAGTTGACCCTACTATTCCCCTTAAAATCCGCTAGTGCACTGGCCTAGTAAAAGTTTGCACCGGGCCCGGTCGTGCATTGTCCTATCTATGAAGGCCGGTTCAAAAGGGCTTTTAGTTTGACCCATCTCACTTTATACCTCTTCATGCGGCGAAAGGATTTTTGAATGTTCTTTGTCATTCTCATATCGGGTTGTAAAGGAGAAAATGGAGCTGAATTTGCTTTCTTTTCTTTTTCGTGGGAAGAATCGGAATTCAATGGTGGGGGAGAAAGAAAGGAAAAGGTCGGCGGACAAAGTAAATTTCTTTTGGGAAAAAACCAACTCTATTTTGACTGATTTTTTTTTTTTATTAATTATTGAAATCGTTGTATTTTTTTTTAATAATAAAAACTGACTCGGACACAGGACAGGTATGTCAATGTCCATAAATTACATCTACGGTTCTTCACTTCTCTTCAAGAAATATTCAATAGAACGGCCTTATATGCACAAGCATAGAACCGAAAATTTAGTTTATGATACCTCAAATCTTGATATCTTGACATTTGAAGACCATTATGGTTTGATTTTAGTTTAAATTGAATAATGGTGTTAGAATTCATAATCGACCCATTTATAGTTTGATATCATTTCTACACCCAAAGCCAAAATTGAAGAATCATATTGGTCCATTTTTTTTATTAATTTTTTTCTAAAGTTAAGTTCATAAAAATAAAAATATTTTATTTCTATTGCTTTTAATTTATTTTCACATTTATTTTTTTGCTTTTAGGTAAATTTGATCGTTTGATCCATAGGGTGGAAGGTTAATTCGCTTCACTGTTATTATCTACGTCTTGTTAATTCGCTATGTTGTTGAATCTTATACTATTTTGTATCAAGATGCAATTTACTTGTGTTTTAAATATTTGTTATTTTGTGTTGAGATGTAACCTTACGTTCAAAACTTGTTATGTTGTTTTTTCGTGAATGGATTATTGTTTTGAAATTATGATTTGTTAAATCATTATATTTTCTAATACAAGGAATTCTTCACTACTAGTTGTAAATTATTCATTTTTTCAATCTTGATTCCATATGAACAAGTCACAAACATTGAGAAATAGAATCATCATACTTAATTCGTTTTCAATGGTCATAAAATGATCATTTAGGATCCTTTTGACTGGTTTAAATTCTATGGAAAATGTCACATTCGAGAAATTCAATTTCTATTTTAGTTGTTTGACACAAAACTAGAAATGAAATTCGAATTTCAAGGTACAACCAGTTTAAACTTTTTTTTTGTCAATTTCATGAAAAATGCATTCATATGAGGTACTTGAGTTTTTATTTTCCAACTTACATGGTTCAAAATAAGTATAGTCTTTGTCAATCAAACGAATCCTTGGTTCTCATAACTATTAGCATCTACATCAAGAATCCAGTATAGTCTACATTATCGGTTCGATGTTTGGTAGGAACTACCCGTAATAACGAACTTACAAACTAATTTGTTTTATCATAAAGAGATTCATTGTTCCTGATCCGGCTTTACCTTAATCCGGCTTTACCTTAATTATCATTTGAACAATTTATTTATCAATCCGAATGGGATAGCACTTCTCTTTGAAAACTTGGTTATGGAACAATTCTAAACAGTTCGGTTTCATAATTGAACTTGGAACTGATAGTTTCATTAACAAGATATTCAGTGATTCTTGATTAAGTTCGCTTCACTTTGGAACTGGACCACGCTAATCTTGTAAATTCACTTGTAGTCAACGGCTCTTTCCTTGTAGGCAATGAGACTATCCTATCATTTTTTTCTTGGACATTGATTTCTTCATGTATACGTCTACAACAAGACTGATTGGAGGCTTCAACAATTAATGTAGATTCATGAGCAGATTGAACTGACATGAGGTAAGCTCGATCTTTTTATAAGATAAGATCAAAATCTTTCGACAGAATAAGAAATCTGAGAGAATCGAAGAACCTGGGAGAGGATCCAGAATTGCCTAAAGAAAGAAATTCACCAAAGTTCACACAACTTTTTAGATGATAAATATACAGTGTCTGAATTTCATCAATAAACAATCAAATAAATCCACACACAAACTCAGTTTAAGACAACACAAATAAAACTTTCAATGTGTAACAGAATTTCAACTGAAACGAATCAAAATATTCAGTATTTTATTAAAGGGGAACCTACGAGGGTATCCCTCTTATATTTCACGCTAGTACATCAAACAGAAGCTCACATACAATCTGGGAAAAATACAAATCCCAGAAATGTCGAAAAAACTAGGATACGTGCCAGCATAGGGTCGACAAAGACTGAAAAAGAAGAGAATATAAAAAATAATAATCCTCTACTTCTTTAGGTTGAGCCAATGGTACTGTCTTGTTGAAGAGACTCAAAAAATTAACTAGAATGGATCTTTGATAATGTATCCCGCAATCTGATTTACATCTCAATCGAATGATCAATAAGGAACCTAAGTTATACGTAAAAACCAAACCTGAAATTTTCACAAAATCCAACGAAACTGCTCTTTCTGAACATGTATATTCTGAACAAGAACACGGTTAGCTCCATATAATGACATAAATATAAGCTGAGATACTTATTTATGAGGGATATGTAAGAAATTCACAATCCACATTTCTGAAGTCTCTTCTCCTATAATTATCTTCAGATATCTGATACTCACGTTTCCTATGCAGCAATTCCTGAAAAAGATAAATGAAGAACAATCAAATAACCGACATAATGATATATTATTCAAATGTTGAAAGATAGGATAAAAAATTCAAGTTTTCTTCAGAGTACTGACTACATCCCTTTTGATTTGGGAGTACTGACTACATCCCTAATTCTGAGATTCATGTTACTCCAGCCAATGACATTTACTCCTCAAGTTCGGATTATTTCAATTTTCACCTAGAAAATTCTAAATAAAAACTAATAGTGTAATAAATCATTTCTAGACTAAGCATGTTTGGAAAGCATTCATAAAATGGTCAAATTATAAATAGCTAGAAATGAGTGGTTGATAATACTTGTGGGTCCTTCAAAATTCACTGATAACAACTGACTCAAGTGTTTATAAACAGTTTATAAACATGAGCCTTATTTGAGCCCCATTGTTTGACAAAAAATGCATTTTTGAACAGTGATGGATGAAAAATGTGCAGTTAAAAAAATAAGAATTTTTTTTGCATGCGTGTAATATTATTTTATTGAAAAATTTATGGTTGAGAAGAAGAGAGAGAAAAATATATTTTGAAAATAATGTAGATCAAACAAGGGCTAAATTTCACATTTATGTAAAACTTTATCCTAAGTAAATTACCATAAGCTAGATTTGAAATGGAAAGATTACCTATTTATATTATATCACATGTAACTAATATCTTTTTTGAAACGACTGCAAACTTGACCCTTTATTTCATAACTTAATTATCTTCGTCAGGTTATCATCTTCGTCAGGTTAGGAATATTACTTATTTATATTTTTATTGCACGTAGCTTAATTATTGCAGAAGATATATACATCGTGTCATTCTTGTTAGTATATTGCACAAATCATCAATCATAATGAAGCCCTAATAATAGATCAAAGTCAGATTTAGATAAAGACCGAGTTTAAATTTAAAAACGTAAAATGTTATTTACGTTTTGATATACATGAACAGTAGAAATGGTGTTTTCCTAATCAAATATAAATCATTCAAGTGTGGGCTCAAATTTTCAAAAGTAATAAATGCTAACATAGTTGGCAGACCGACTTCCATTATGACAAGTAATGACGAGAACAAAATTGACGTTAATTTAAAGAAGCAGTCATGAATTCAAAAAACAATATTAAGAGTTGAAATACAATATACGCTATACTTTAATTATTTTATGATTATGATATATAGATTCTAAAGTAACAATTCAATTGTTTTTGATGAAATATTAGCTGGCTTATTATTCAGCTCAATTAATTTTATTATTACTTTTTTTTTTTTGCAAGAATCATAAAAAAATGGAAAGAACGAATGAGC